GAAACATTACATACTGTAAAAGAAATACAAATGCTGAAGAGCATCATCGATTTCACAATGGTAATTTCCACTAACAAATCAATAAAACCACAACAGGATCCAACAGATGGAGCCGTTTTTACACACCTCAAACAGGCCAAAGAGGCTAAAAAATATCAGTAAGAAAATTGTACAAAACGGCTGGACAAATGTTCCAACTTGTCGAGCTGAACCATTCAGCTATATCATCATCAACCAAACACCGTTGATCGATTGTGGGTTTCCATAAAAAACGAGCTGCACCATTATCGGTCTCTCTCTCTCTATATATATGCAAACATCATCATATCACAAATTATATTATGCCAACGGTCAATAGCCGGAGGAGACTAAGACATTGTGCTCTTTCAAGCGTTTTTGGAAATGAGCCAGCTGATTTTGTAAATGTAGGATGCCAGCAGCTTTCTGGGAGAGAATCGAGTTCAATCGTGAAATATAATCGTCTAGCTGATTACCTGGCTGATCGGCCTCGACCAGCAAATTCATTTCCTGATAAATGAGTAGTGAGGAAATATATTAAGTAATAAATATGCTTGGGTTTTATAAAATGAGGGATGAAAAAGGAAAAGAGAAAAAACAACAGGAGAAAACAGGGCAAATACCTCGCGAACAATTTCCATTGTCTCCTCAACTTGTTTCCTGTGTGCATTGACAAGATCTTCCTCTTCCTATAAACAGTAGAATCATAATCAAGACCTCTGTTTTCACACAGTGTACATTCTCGTAATTCAGTAAACAAAAATGACAGTCAAATATATACTATAATTATTAAAAGAATGGAATAAAGTATCATTCAAAAAATCCAGATACCCAAAATCGATATTTATCCACATTTCGAAAATAAAAACTATATAAGGGGGTTAATAGTTAAATACAAAAATCAAACCGTTCAAAAGATAATAGCTACTTTTTGCAATTAGGCTGAACTGAAGGCATTTATTGAATTTTAACACTACCCACCCCAAAATTGTACCTTCAGTAAAGCATTCAGATTATCATCTGAATTTGAATGTTTTATCTCTGCCTTAGCAGGCTCCATCCACTTGGACTGGCCATTGGCTCTCCTCGTTTTATCATCCATATTCGAAAAGCTGTATGATGATTCAACTCTCGTGTTCTTCCATGTTGGTTTTTCTGGTTCATAAAAATCACCATTGTATTCTTCTCTATCAGTTTGTTCCGGCCATGAATTGCCTGTATCATCCTCAACAGCCGATATCGGTGGCGGGACTAAATTCAACGGCTGGGCAATTGACTCTTTCAGATTAATGGTCGAAGTCAAAACATCCTTCTTGGAGTTATTTCCTTTGGAGAGGCTCTTAACCCTGAAGTTGCAACAAGTTGCAAATTTTTTAAGGCTCATAGGAGAAAAATTAGAAGTACATATTCAGGAAAAGGATTAAGACTGACCTGTCGGCATATCTTAAGGTGTTTAAGGTATGCTCACAGGATCCTGAGGTTGGTGAAATGCACGATATCATTACTGTGCGGGAATTTCCTACAAATGAGTCCCTCAAGACTTCAGTTAGTTTGCTGCCTCTAAAAGGAATGTGCCCCTGATCATTATCGAGTGCTCTAATACATTCCTTCAGGGCAAGCAAACTTTTATTGATCTCAGCTCCTTCCATTCTGCATTTTTCATAAAATTGGATTAACTGAGGATATTCATCGCTTGAAAGATATTGATCAATTTCCTCCTCCCAAAATAAACCAGTTAGCCAATAACAAGAAACTTCCATGTCAAGTGGTACTGTTATGTCTCCATGCATTTTAGTCAATTTTCCCATCTGTAAGAGGATTCTTGGATACAAGTTATCCTAGAAAAATTTAATCATTTTTACCCAATCACTTTTTTCAAGTCAAATTTAACCATACCACATTTTTCAAAATTAACCAAACCAAACCAAAAAATCCAAATAAAATAAAAAAAAAAAAATCTTATATCCAAGCATCCCCTAAGCGAGTGGTGTTTGACAATCACTTGTTTTCTTTCCCTTTTCTTGTTAATAGAAGATAAAAGAAGTTGTTAAGAATAAGAGGTTGAAACTATAACAGACTACGACAACTCCTTTTCAGGGAGACTGACAAACACTCTTTTTTCCCTTCAACATTCCCTATTTCACTGAGCTGCAAGAAGTTAATTACACACACACACACACTCACACACACATATATATGTACATATATATATATATATATATATATATACCTTGTCTGCTTATCATTATCAGTAGTGTCTGCACCACGTTCACTACCAGCAAGATCGATGAAGGAGAGCTTGCCAACAACCCTTGGAGGTTTAGATTCACTGCCATCGACTGACCTCTTAATGGTCAACTGAAGAATGGCATGCGAACGGGATGACTCCTCGTTTGCACCAGTGGTGCCCGTACTTCTCGTTGCATTACCTTTCTCAATAAGTTCCTTAATTGTCTCAACATCAGAGACTCGGTACTCTTGCAAACCCACGATACAGACTTGCTGCTTACCATCCTCTCTCATGCAAAGTTTCCTGCCGGAAAAGGAGTCATAATAACATCTGGCCAAAATGAAAATAGTGAATGGATAGATATGATAAGAACTTACTTCCTATCACTCAGAAGATCAAAAAGCTTTCCACCATATATCTCAAAGAAGCTAACAAATAGCTGAAAACCTTGATTCCTGTAAGTGTGGTGCATGAGCCTCAGGATGTCCCTAACTGCTTTTAGAGGCAGTGGTTTCATGGTAAAAGTTTTGCCACTTCCTGAAAAATTGTTGAAAAAGCGTAGCTGAAAAGTAAGAGATAAGAATAAAAGAAAATTTAGAATAAAAATAAATGGGGATGATGATTTTAAAAAAAGATGATCACCTGTTTGCCCATAAGCGAAGCAAGTGGCTTTTGTACGTTGAAAAATAATCGGAACAATAGGTTCCACGGTTTCACGATAGACCTATGAGAGAAGAGATACGAATCAAGTTAACAAAAACAAAAGAGTATCATTAGGCTATATCCATTTCCCTCAATATCAGCTTAATTCATGTTCATGAGCTACCTCATCATTTGAGACTTCTTCATTTAACACTGCATCGAAAACAAATTCATGTTTCTCCACATATTCCGTCAGATCAACCTGCAATGTTATAATATACAAGAAAATCCAAGTTTAAAGTTCAGCTGAACCACTTACAGTTAGCATTGAGTGACTACTTGAATTTCTGGATGATAATATTATCATTACAAAGCAAAAATATGGCCATAAGTATACATCAGGGGTTCAATACATTCATCTAGGTAAGCTAACAGATCAAACGCATAAATGATTGCCCAAAATCATGTTCTTGGAAAAGGAAAAAGAAGCAGCACATATCTGAAAGTAAACCCGTTTCTCATATAATGAAGAGCAATCTTGAAGAGTTGGGGTATATCTTCAAAATGTCACACATAAGTAAATAATTCAAAACTACTTCGAAGCACTTTACTCAAGCGGTAGAAAAAACAAGGAACCAAATAAGGCCAAGAACAACAACTGCTATAACACTGAAGAGCGAAATAAACACCGATAACCTTATCAAACCTTAAGTTTTGTCTCGTGGACAACTAGAGAATTTGAATAGGTATCTATGATGTCCTCCTCATTCTTTGTGAGTTCCTTTTTGTTTAGAGGTCTTTTACGCACCTGAAATATATTAAAAATCAATTTTATCAAACTACACAACAAACAGAAATAATATCTAATCCAGTTTCTGCAGGGCATTGCTGGGACTTAAAGAAATCTCACTCTTTGCTGCACATGACTACATAAATTTTTCCGTGAAACAATAACACCACTTCACTTTTTTACTTAGTTAGAGAATTCGAGGAATGAACCCCAGTAAATCAAATTAGTTCACTAGCATTGCCAACAAACCAGCACAAAGACTATAGAACAGATCAACGTGGAATAAGTGGAAAAAAACATACCACAACTTTGATCTTTGCAACATTGCTGGCCTTCACATTATCAGCTGCAGTGCTTTTCATAACATTGCTTTCAGGCACAGCACGAGCTCTGCCAGCTTGTTTGTTGTTCCCGAAGTACGGGTCAGAGTCATCAAAACTTCTTCTCCGTGAGAAGTGATTCATTGAAGGGCCATCATAGGGGCCAGGAACTGATACCTGTTTTCAGCATACATATCCAAATAGTGGGCAAACGAAATACAGGAGAAAATTACAGCAAAATACATCCAATCATCTAAACTAAAACCACATTTGATGCAAGAATGCAATCAAGCTAAGAACATAGAATACATGTTAAAGGATAAAATAGTTAACACTAGTGTATCATTCATTCCATTCAGATCATTTATTTTCCATACAGATAAACAGGCTTTTACTGACAATGGCACTCCAATTACTTTTATCTTAGTTCATTTTATTACCACATTCATTACCGCAACCTGAATTGCCAACTCAACCCCCATTTGTGTACCAAAAAGAGTTTCACCTTTCGACTATATAGTGCAAAATTAACATTCGCAAACTCCCCCACATTCAAGAATCCGTCATCAACCAACCATAAGAAGCACTAAACAACTATAACAAAGAACCAACCTCGGGAAGTAGCTCCGTATCAAACGAATGCAGATCCAAAAGCCCGGGGCTGTACTCATTCGGCGAAACTTGGTCATCCCCATTCTTCCTCCACATATTCTCCGGCGGCGTCAATGGCTCGGCAAACAAATTGCTGTCTCCACTGTAAGTCCTCTGGCCTTGCACACTCCTGTATACCCTTGAACCCTGACCACCACCATTGAAGTACCCAAACTCCTAATTTTTCCGCAGCCAGCGAGAAGAACATCATATAAAAAAAACAAAAATCAGGGGTTTTCCACTGTGTCACCAGATCTAAACGAGTCCACACTCAACTACACAAAGAAAACTACATAAATGCAAACCTGAACTGGAGGCGCCGCATTGCTTGACGAATGCAGGTGCTGCAAACCAGCCGATTGCAGCCACCGCCCGTTCGACGAAGCTTCCATAAAATTGTCGGAGTACTGCCGCTGGTGGTGCGCCCCCGACGTACCGGATCTCTGCCTCCCAACCGCCGTGTTCATTCTTTCTCCGATCAACGCGGAAAACTGCAAAAATGGGCGAAGAAAAGCCGAAAACCTTTTTCCCTCTGAGCTCCAAGCTCCAACTTTTCCTCGATTTCCTTTCTGTTTTTCTCCCTTTTTTTGGAAGATTAAAGACGAAAAATGCAGTGAATAATGTGTGTATCCATTGATGATGAAATGTGATTATGGGACAGGCTTTGGTCGTTGAGAAGCTTTGAAATCAACGGCTGCGATTCGTGTTCACTTGAACTCTAAAAAAACGAGATGGGTTTTTGGATTTTTTTTTTCTAAATTAAATTAATCATTAATTTAATTACATTACTTTATTTTAATTATAAAAAAAAGGCATTACGGACGGAGTTTTGAATTTTGAAGGGGGTGGGAGCAGCACGTGTGGGGAAACGGGCGCACGTGTGGGAAACGTGATTGGCTGAAATATGAGAGACGGTGGAAGGTGGGTCCCGCTTGAGTATTTTGAATTTGAAACGCACATTCCATGTCGTTTCACAATGTGGGGCTGCGTCGTTTGGGGCCTCCATGCTTACAATAATATTAATTTCAATTTGACATGATTTTTTGATAAAATTATTAATTTTAAAATTAAAGTGACATGTAAATTACTTGATCTTATCTTATGTGTATTATGTCGAATTTTATATCAACAGTTGTGTTATTATAGCATGGCCTCTTCTTGCCCCTCAAATAAGTTTTTTCGTATAAAAAGTTTTTATATTATTTGATAAAAAGTTTTTTTCGTATTTAAACAAGTCTACCTATGTGTTTTTTGAAAGATTTAAATTTCTACGTGGATAAATCTATTGAAATTTTTGTTTTGATTAATTTTATCATATATTTTTACCATATCAATTAGCCTTTTAACTATTAGTCATAATATAGTAATTATCATCTCAAAATTAATGAAAGATAATGTATAAACTATCAATTATCTTGTCTATTATGGACACAACGTATAAAACAGACAAGGAGGAATGTGGAAGAAAGTTGACCAAAATAGATGGTAGACTTGTGAAGAAAACTAATGGCTGAAGTGTGGACAGGCCCGTCTGAAAGGGGGGGCAGCTGGTGCTTGGCCCAAGGGCCCTAACCGGTTGGGGGCCCATGAATATATATACATGTATAGTTAAAGACACCCTATAGATATATANAAAAAAAACCCTATATATTGAGAGTGTCGGTAAAGAGAGAGAGTGTGGATATCTTTTTGTGTCAAATCTCGGTTTTACCCATATGAATAGTGTGTTTTCTTTTTAGTTGTAGTAGGGAGGGCAATTTAGTAATTAAAAATAAAAAAAAAATATGTCAGGCAAGAATTTAAGAATATCAAACGCTTTTCGGTAAAGAGAGAGAGTGTAGATATCTTTTTGTGTCTTGCTTGCCCAAGGGCCCTCGAAATTGTTGAGACGGCCCTGAGTGTGGAAAGTGGATTGTGTGTGAAAGAAAGTTCACTCTAATACACTATCATATTGTTGATCGAATACAACTTTTTTATTCCAAAATCATATTTCAATCAAATAAAACTTTTAATTCATTGGATGAATAACATATATCTACATTTTTTTATTTCAAAATCATATTTCAATCAAACAAAACTTTTTAATTCATTCGATGAATAACACAAATCTACAATGAAATTACAGTTATACGATTGTCAATCATCGAAATGAAACATCGATTTGAAGAAAATCCCTTGAATATATGATATTAAATTAAATGGCACATGTTCATACCTTTTGTGATTTAATAAATTTTAATTTCCTTTTTAATGAATACAAATTACGGAATGGACTCTTGCCCACCTATCAGTCAAAATAATGATTGAAAATAAAAAAAATAAAAATCTCAAAAACAAATTTTGGCATCTCAAAATGTTACTCGGATGACCTTAGAAGATGAGTTTATCTATACTTATATAATAAGGTGTACCATTTACAAAATTTAGTAAGTTGAAAAGTCAATGAAATAAATGCATTACTATTTTGAGCAACATAATACAGTATCATATCTATACTTATATAAAAGGAGATTCTATTTACTACATTTACTATCCAGAAAAGTCAACTGCATTAAATGCCATTACTATTTTGGTATTATAATATTTTATTTATTTAATTGATTTATTTATTTATTTTATTTTAAAAAGGTAAGTATAATAAAAAAAATTTTATAATAAAAAAATTGAATACCAAATAAAAATGTAAACTTTGACTTATTTGATTATATTTGGTATTTGATTATACTGTACTGTTTACCCAATATTTTAGTATTTTTTGACAAATATTACGTAATTGAGATAGAGTGTAAGAGGAAGATGATGAAGGAGGTAGAGAGAGAAAGAGAATTGTAGAGAGAGAGAGTGAATTTGTTGTAACAGACTTGGTTTTTTCCTTTTTCGAGCACATGCCTCACTTAACCCTTACAAGGATATTTTACTACTTTGCCCTACACAACCAGAAATAAGACTAATAACGATGATGCAGCCCAAATGACAAACAACAGGCTAAAAATAAAATAAGAGTTGGGCTAAGTATTCTAAAGCCCAATGATAAACTTAAATCACTAACAATCCAGCCCAAACCCCCTCAAAACCCATACAATATTTTTTTAATCACTCACAAACCCCTAATTTTCAATCTTTTCCTTTGTCTTCTTCTCCTGCCCTGCGATCTGCATTTCTTTCCCAAAGCTCTCTCTTTTCTCAGCCTTATCTTGAGCTTTCATCTCCAAAATCTCACCTTTCTTCCATCTCTCTACATCTTCTGTCTCTTTTAGAACTTCACTACCGGAATCGCCTTGTGGGACCATGACAATACCCCCGGCCGAGTTCGGACCTTGTCCCCAAGGGCCGAGGTTTGGAAATTTCCGGTGGAGGTATTTTTCATCCTCCCAAGTGGGCTTGACAGAATCTGAGTGTGACCACCTGACGAGGAGCTGCTGGACATCTTCGCCGTGGCGGTGCACAACACGTGAATCCCCAAATGCCACCGGACAGACCTTGAAATTGCCATTGCTGTCAGTCTCCGGTAAGTCGCTAGAAGGTAAAATGGCTGAACTAATCTTCTTTTTGAGTAGCGAAACATGAAAAATTGGGTGAATTTTTGAGTCGTCTGGTAGATCAAGCCTGTAAGCCACGGAACCAATTTTCTCCAAAACCTTGTAGGGCCCATAGTATTTTGCAGAAAGCTTAAGATTTTTCCTGAGGTAGACCGAGTTTTGCCGAAAAGGCTGAAGCTTTAGGTAGACGAGGTCTCCCACCTCAAAACTCCTTTCTTGTCTATGCTTGTCTGCAAAAATTTTCATTCTGTTCTGGGCCTGAATGAGGTTATCTTTGATCTGTTGGGTAACCGCCTGCCTTTGTGTGACTGAGTCTTGCACCTCCGTGCTGTAGGTGTCTAGAAAAGGGCTCATAGAAAAATTAGGTGGTGGGTAGCCATAAAGAGCCTGAAAAGGAGTCATCTTGAGGCTGGAATGAAAATTGGTATTATACCAATACTCAGCCAAACTTAGCCACCTCCCCCAGTGCTTAGGATTTTCATGGACCATACACCTAAGATATGTTTCGAGGCACTGATTTACTCTTTCAGTTTGACCATCCGATTGGGGATGATAAGCAGATGTCATCTCCAATTTGACCCCCAGCAACTTAAAAAATTCTTTCCAAAATGTGCTAGTGAAAATTTTGTCCCTGTCAGTGACCATACTGATAGGTGGGCCATGTAGTTTGTAAATTGTATTCATGAATACTGAGGCTACCCCTTGTGCTGTAAATGGATGAGCCAAAGGTACAAAGTGGGCATACTTAGTAAACCTATCCACCACCACTAAGATCACATCCTTACCTCCTGATTTTGGCAAACCCTCTATGAAGTCCATTGTGATATGAGTCCAGGCTTGATTGGGTATAGGCAGTGGTTGCAACAACCCTGGATAGGCTCCCTGATCATGCTTGCTCCTTTTGCATACATCACATTGATTTACCCGTGCTATGACATCTTTTTTCATTAAAGGCCAGAAAAAACTTCTTTTTAGCCTTGAATAAGTGCCCTGGATACCAGAGTGACCCCCATAAGAGGATCCATGCATGGCCTCCAATATTTCTTGCCTAAGAGAGTTTACTGATCCCACTACCACTCTGCCTTTAAATCTCAGCAAACCTTCATGTAGTGAAAAATCTGGATAAGTAGAGGGTAGGATAGTATTTGCCTGAATGATTTTTTGACAAAATGGATCATTGTCATAGGAACTTAGAACCCTCTGGACCCATAAAGGAGTGACTGTAGTAAGGCTCTGGCAAACTTCTTCCTGACCATACATTCTCGAGAGTGCATCTGCCACCTTATTCTCACTTCCTTTCTTATACTGAATAACATAGTCCAGTCCCAACAACTTAGTAAGCCATTTTTGTTGCATTGGGTTCATTGCTTTTTGATCCAGCAAGTATCTCAATGCTTGCTGATCTGTCTTAATGATGAACTTGTGACCCAGTAAATAACTCCTCCACCTCTGCACTGCCATCAGAACAGCCAAGAACTCCCTCTCATAGATGGATAGGGCTTGATTTTTAGGGCACAACACCTTGCTCATATATGCTATAGGTCTCCCATCTTGCATTAGAACTGCCCCAACCCCTACACCACTAGCATCAGTTTCTAGAATAAAAGGTTTGGAAAAATCTGGCATAGCAAGCACTGGAGCTGAAGCCATAGCTTGTTTGAGTGCTAGAAAAGCACTCTCTGCTTCAGTAGTCCACTTGAACTTATCTGCCTTTAAAAGATTGGTCATGGGTTTGCTGAGTAGACCATAGCCTTTAACAAATCTCCTGTAATATCCAGTGAGACCCAAAAATCCCCTCAGTTGCTTAAAGGTTGTAGGAGATGGCCAATTGACCATGCTTGCAATCTTCTGGGGATCAGTTGATACTCCTTGTTGGGAAATAATATGCCCCAAATATTCAATATCAGTTTGCCCAAATTGACATTTGGACATTTTTGCATACAGATGATGGTGCCTTAGTTCTCCCAACACTACATTTAAATGCTCTAAGTGATCACTCCAATTAGAACTATAAATGAGGATATCATCAAAGAACACTAGAACAAATTTCCTTAGGTAAGGCCTGAAAACCTGATTCATTAAAGACTGAAAAGTGGCAGGTGCATTGCACAAACCAAAAGGCATCACCTGAAATTCATAATGACCATTATGGGTGCTGAAAGCAGTTAAATATCTGTGTTCAGGCCTCATAAGTATCTGAAAATACCCAGATCTGAGATCAATTTTAGAAAAGAACCTTGCCCCATGAAGTTCATCTAACAATTCATCAATCACCGGAATAGGGTAATCATGTTTGATGGTTAAACTGTTTAAATACCTGTAGTCCACACACATTCTCCAGGTACCATCCTTCTTTTTTACTAAGATAACTGGTGAGGCAAAAGGGCTGTGACTTGGTTGAATAACCCCTGAGTTTAACATCTCTGTCACCAACTTTTCTATCTCATTTTTCTGGGCATGTGAGGCCCTGTATGGATAATTATGTTTAGGCACACTACCTGCTTTTAGGATTATTTGGTGTTCTATCCCTCTCTCAGGGGGTAATCCCTGAGGTTCCTGGAAAACATCTCCAAAAGTGTCAAGAAGTTCTTGCAATTGAGGTTCAACCTTGGACTTCTCAGTTTCTGTGGTCAAAAGATAAAGCCCTTCAATCTGTTGGCAGTCCTGATGAACCAGCCTGTACAATGCTTCCCCTGAAATGAATTTACAATCCTTGTTTGATTTTAAGGCTTGCAACTTAACCCTCTTTCCTTTTAGTGTGACAGTAAATGTCATTAAATCATAATCTAGCTGAATAGGGGTACAAGCTTTCAACCAATCTCCACCCATTATAAGATCACAACCAACATTTTGCAACACCCTGAGATTATAGGTAAATTGGTGTCCCTGCATAGTCCATGTGAACCCTTCTGCAATTTGTGTGCTTATCATTCTCTGCCCATTAGCCACCCTCACCATGATGGGTTTAGCAGCCTTGAGTGACCATCCCAACTTCTGAGCTATATTCTCTTGAATAAAGCTCAATGTGCTGCCAGAATCAATTAGAATATGCAATTTGTTACCTGAACACTCCCCATACAACCTCATGGTAGTTAACCCCCCATCTCCTGCTAGGGCATTCAATGTCATTTGTATCTCCTCTATATTTTCTGTGACCTCAGTCTGCTCTTCCACCCACTCTGCAGAATCTAAGAATGAACTCTCTTCTTCTTCTGTCATCATCATATAGTTGATTCTATGCTTGCACCTGTGCCCCACAACATAAGGCTCGTCACAATTATAGCATAGGCCCTTTTCTCTCCTAGCAGCCATTTCAGTAGCTGTGAGCAACTTGGTTGGTGGTTTGTATGCAGTTCCTTGAAAATTCACCTTGTTTTGAGCACCCCAGTCTCCCCTCTTAGAAGAAATAGGATTTGTTGTTGAAAACCTAGGAGTGGTTTGTTTGGCTTTCCTCACTATAGCCTCCATAGTACACAACTGCTTCCTTCCCAGGTCAATGGTTTGTTGAAGGGTCTTAGGTTCAAACATATTGATGAATGCCTGTAGCTCTTCACTCAACCCACTCAAGAAACTAGCAATGAAATACTCCTCAGAAAATTCTCCAGTGTTCATCATGAGCATACATGATCTTAATTCCTCAAACTTTTCCACATATTCATTGTAAGAACCTGTGTGCTTCAATTTGTTAAACTCACCAATAATCCTGGATTCCTTAATCTCTTCAAACCTAGAAGAGATTATTTCCAAAAACTGAGCCCATGAGATGTTTTCAAATTTGTTGCAAAAGTTCTGGAACCACTGTGCAGCTCTTCCCTCAAAGTGCATAGATGCAAGTGTTACCCTCTGTTCATCTGGGACATTTTGAATAATTCTGAAATACCCATTACACTTTAGAATCCAGCTCCTAGGATTGTTCCCATCAAACCTTGGAAATTCAATTTTGGGCAGCGGGTTAATAAACTGAATTTGTTGGTCTGATGTTTCTGACTGGGATTGTTGCTTAAAAATTTGGTGTTGTTTGCCAGTGAATGTGCCTGATTTAAATGGACCCAGAATAGAGCTACCTTCACCAGAAGGCTTACCTTTGTCCAAATTTAGCAGCTGCAACTGGATAGCTGCCAAAGTGTTGGCTAAGTTATCATACTTTCCATCTATATTGCCAAATTTTTCCTGAAGATCAGAGCTAATTCCTGCTATCTGCTCTTGTAATTTGAGCTCACTTGCTTCCCTTTTCAATGTTTCTGTGTGCAGGACCTGATCAATACGCTTTTGGTTTTCTTGCAACTCCTTCAAACGAGTATTCTCAGCCATGGGAAGATCGGCTGGCTCTGATGATACCAATTGTACTGTTTACCCAATATTTTAGTATTTTTTGACAAATATTACGTAATTGAGATAGAGTGTAAGAGGAAGATGATGAAGGAGGTAGAGAGAGAAAGAGAATTGTAGAGAGAGAGAGTGAATTTGTTGTAACAGACTTGGTTTTTTCCTTTTTCGAGCACATGCCTCACTTAACCCTTACAAGGATATTTTACTACTTTGCCCTACACAACCAGAAATAAGACTAATAACGATGATGCAGCCCAAATGACAAACAACAGGCTAAAAATAAAATAAGAGTTGGGCTAAGTATTCTAAAGCCCAATGATAAACTTAAATCACTAACAATCCAGCCCAAACCCCCTCAAAACCCATACAATATTTTTTTAATCACTCACAAACCCCTAATTTTCAATCTTTTCCTTTGTCTTCTTCTCCTGCCCTGCGATCTGCATTTCTTTCCCAAAGCTCTCTCTTTTCTCAGCCTTATCTTGAGCTTTCATCTCCAAAATCTCACCTTTCTTCCATCTCTCTACATCTTCTGTCTCTTTTAGAACTTCACTACCGGAATCGTCTTGTGGGACCATGACATATACCAAATATATTCCTATTTAGTATATACATTAAATACTTACTAAAATATTTATTTTTTTTATCTGTCAAAGTTAAGTATAGATTTGTTTATATTATCAAATCATAAAAAAATATTAAATCCATATTGTAAAAAAAAAATCATATAATTTTATAATAATTCTACTACACTATTTAACAATATTCTTTTTTTTTATTATATAATAAAATAATAATTAAATATTATATGGTGAACAACAATAAGTAAAATTGTTACTTTCTCTTATATCAAGGAATAAATTTATATGCTAAAATTAAATTTTTATTAGTATAAATGTTTTAGTGAGATAATATATTAATTATTTTACAAGCTAGCCCTAACATGCTCATATTTAAT